ATATTAGCTGAGCGATTAGTAATTTTATAAACGAAATGGTGACGTAGCGCCATTATTACGGGGATAAATTGTTACATTTGGGTATTTTACTCAAATGTAACAATTTCTCCCCGTGATAATTTGTTTACACAAATGAAACCATTCGTGATTCATAACCATTCATTTGGTTAATAAAATTACTGTACATGTGCGTATGAGGCCTGAGTCTCTGGGCGCAAGTTGTCAAAGACAGATCATTCTATACAGAAATTCCTTCCCTCTCCTCTCTTCTTTAGTTATTACGTGCTGTCATTTTCGATCATTTTCTTAATAGATTAGTTTTGTTCAAGGTGATGGGAGAAGGTTGTGCCTTTTTTGTTACAGTAAAACTGTTAATTTGTCTTTTTTTGCACATTCAAACAAAAGGAACGAGTTAAGATTCTATCTACTTTATAATTAAAATATTGTTTTGTAGTTTTGTTGTGGATAAACGATCCACTAAAAGTAATTACCTGTTGAGTGTTGTTAAATTTAATATTAATTTAAATATGAAAAACCTAAAATATTGTTAACGATAATAGTTGTGATTGTTTTAGATAATCGTATTACATTAGCGATATACAAGTTCTTTTTGGGAAAATTTCTGTGCTTTGTCTTTGGCTTTTTTGTATTGAAAATTTGACAATTTAATATTGCACTCACACATACTTCAAAAGTCGGGGCTTAACTCGAGCAACAACGTTTTTGTCAAACTTCGAGTTAAGCCCCGGGGCTTAACTCGAATGACCCAAATCGTGTTTCGTTCTTCGAGTTAAGCCCTTTTTGAAAAAGGGCGTGGTCATGACAAAACAGGGCGTGGTCGGGGCTTAACTCGAAAAGGGCTTAACTCGAGGGGCTTAACTCGAAGGGCTTAACTCGAAGATTCCCGACCTCCGAAATTTAAAAGGTCCCACGACAAAATTAAGATATATGTATTTTCTATTACAATCTTTCGGTTTCAGATAAAAAAAGTTAATGTTGTAGCTCACGGAAGTCTTAGATTACGATAATATTTTCTCGCTCTTTTGTTTATGTTTTTAAATTTTTAAGTTTTTAAATGTTTTTAACCGCTTATATCATATAGTACAAATATTAACAAAGTTGCAGACGTATACTTAATAAAAATCTAGATATCTTGTATAGATGGCTGCCAGCAAATAGACTAAGTTTAAACGTCTTAAAAAGCGAATGTATGTTAATCGGCTCCAAAGTCCGAATAACTAAGTTGACATCAGATCCTAAGATATTTATCGGAGGACATCGCCTAAAGCGAGTAGTTGTAACTAAATCCCTGGGGCTTATGATTGACGAAAATCTATCGTGTCAAGAACACGTAATTTATATATCCAAAAAAGTAGCCGAAGGCCTGGGAATGTTAAGACGCATTCGTGATCTGGTGACAATTAATACGCTAGTTGACATATACTCTTCTATCATTCTCCCCCATTTTGATTCTACTTCTGTGTGGGATAATTGCAGAAAAGGTTTACGAGATAAACTTCAAAAATTACAAAATCGAGCAGCTCGAATAATTACTGGGAGCAACTACGAAATACGCTTTTCCCAAATTTTAAATAACTTAAATTGGCCAACACTAGAAGATAGGCGAATGAAACAAAAATCTTGTCTAATGTTCAAAGTGTACCACAAATTAGGTCCATCTTTATCTTTCACAGCCATTTAATCGAGCGAATTTAATTCACAGTCATGGTACACGAGATGATGACAACAATTTTGTTATCCCTAAATCAAACACCAATTTTTTTAAAAATAGTTTCGAATATAACGGAGCAGTGGTATGGAATTCAATACCAATTGAAATTAAGAATTCCACTTCCCTAAAAATATTCAAAAAATAAACTGTAGAATTAATTTGTTATGTATATAACTTTAATTTCTCATTCTCCTTGTAAATATTGTAAATATTTCAAATGTCACGGCGCCTGGGAAGATCATCTTATTTTCGATGACAGGCCTTCGTGCCTAAATAGAGTTCGCTGTCACTTTCTGAGCGAAAATGTCAACAAACGCGCTGATTGGCTTGAAACGAAATCTGCCCTCGTTTCGCGCAACAAGAATAACTATAATTAGTATAATTACATAGGTAATTATTGAAAATTCTCCACGCTGATTGGTTGCCGTTGAGGTGATTATTACGCGATAATCACCTAAGCGATTTTCAAAATGGCGGCCGAAGCCTTTTTGTCAATTAAATGACGAAGAAATGTGTATTTTCTTATTTTTTTCTAAATAATCACCTATGAAATTATACTAAAACAATTATTCACCTCAGGCTCGGTGATTATCGTGAATAAAAACCTCGACTTGGTCTCGGTTTTTGTTCACCGATAATCACCTCGCCTTCGGCGAATAATTGTTAAATAACAAGTGTAAAAATTAACTACATAATTATATGTAATTTCTCAAGTTTCAAACTTCAGAGTTTGTGAAGCAAAAATAATTAAATTACCCGGAAAATAATAGCTTAAAACATTCCCTGGCAATATTAGTCGGTTATGAACCACAAGAATAATTTTAAACAAGTAGGCTACGACACCGCAACAAAAATGTTGACACGAAATACTATATATAGCTACAATCTATAACACATGCAGAATACATTACAGTATATCTCAATTCAGCCGGAATTTATTTTACAGAATATGTAACGGACAAAAAGAAAATTACAAATTAAGATAATTTGTGAGGGACAGGAGGTCGACGGCGAGAGGAACAAATTGCAATTGGCCCGCCATTACGTATAAGCTCTATTAAATGTGAAAAGCATAACTGCCTTGTGCGATTTTTGCAATAATTTTAAAACCTTATCAAAACACTTATACAACTGGTACTTTAAATAATAATAACAATGCATATATGCTAATAAAACCACAGCTGACGCGATTTTTGTCCTTCAAAGTAATTTTACCTGTTTGCTTATCGCTTCAGCACTGTGTACGAAATGTCTATCAGAAAAATCACATGTATGCTTTGGTTATGTTTTCATTTATCAAGTTGTAGTATTGCATACATGAAGTATTCAAAATTGAAAGCGATAAATTGGGGTCTACCTCTTGCTGGACACAAACTTAATGTAACACCAATAGCAACGAGTAGAGTGACAAATCATATCAAGTGTATGGTTCACTGCGCAAAAACTGAGGGGTGTGTGGCTATAAATCTCGGTCCCGCACAAGCCGGACAGCACGAGTGTGAAATGTTGGAAACAACACGATATTCAATATTAAATATTTTATCTGCGAAAACTTTCACTGCGAAAGCTGGCTGGACATACATTGGACCTAAGGTATATTATATTAATTGTAAGATACTCTGCAGTGTTAGTAACATATCAAACTATCAGTATCATTGTTAATACAATTATAGTTATTCCATCTAACTAAAGTTTGAACTGGAGATTTACAAATATTTATATTTACTAGACTAAATGCGAGGCTAATCCATGTCGTAAGAAATTATTATGCATTGAACGTGAACCTGATTACATCTGCATAGATCCAGTCAAAGCCAAAGGTGAAGTATATTATTTTTTTGTGGAAATATGATAAATATAGATCAGATTTCAAGAGCTTCAAGAAAGTATTTTTCTGGTCCGATTTGAAATTTAAAACTTAAATCAGTACAGGGTATCCAAAAAAACCCAAAAATTATTGAAATCGCATATTGTTCGAATTTGAATATCCTAGCACTAAGCTGAACGCAAATATACGTAAAATATTGACAGGGTTCATATTATATTACATTTTGACTTGTTAAGAAATTAAAATATCTTTATAAAGCGCACGATTTTCTGCTCTTGGATAATTTAAAGCAGCTTCAAGCTTCAGCTGTCAAGCCTATGTGCACTTATGGTTTCGGACACCTTGTATATTGATTATTTTTTCTTAATTTTTATGTCAGTGACAAAGTTAAGGGAATATGGTTTGCCTATTTCCTCTTGGCATTGTTAATGTCTTAAACGAAATGTTTGTGTGTAACACTTCGTACACAATAGTACAGATACACATTACCTTTAAACTACCTGCATGCTATCAGATTAATTTTGTGAGTTCAAATAGACTAGCTTGTGTACAGTCGTTACTCTCGACGAACGAGAGAACATCTGTGAGTTGGATGCATAATCCTTGTGCATAATGACTTGAACAATAGGGGAACTGGAAATTGCTATTGGTGGATTTGGTAAAAATACAATACACAAGTGACGGTGAAAGGACCAGATTTATGAATAAACGTTGACTAACATAGATAATGAGTTATGTTGTTATTATAATGAGTTTCACAGCCATCTTGCCTTCAATAGGCTATGACGTGAATGAGGGCCTGTTTATATGAAGGCGAGTTACACGGCAAGGCGAGTTCCGGCTATTATAGAAACTCCCGCATGACTGCTTACATGATGCAGCCGAGTAACTCGCCTTGGCGAGTTCCCGGCAAAAAGAGGCTGGATATCACCTAGGGGAGATGAATATTTTACTTTGTAAACATTCTTCCCCGGTACACACGTAAAAATCTCACAACTTGTCAACAAGATGCGTTCGCAACAGGCTTGTAGCAAGCTTGTTAGCAAGTTGTAACAACGCTGTTATTTTATCAAGTTGCTACAAAATTGCCACTCAAAACTTGTTGACAAATTGTTGAATTGCAGAAAGATAACAAGTTGTTGGAACAACTTGTAACAAGTCTGTTGAGCTCAGCAACCTTGTTGCAATTTGTCAATAAGCCTTTGACAACCTGTCAACAAGGTGGAAACAAGCAGTGCGAACACATCCTGTTAACAAGTTGTTGGAACAGCATTGCTACGTACAAGTCTGTTGCAGGTTTGCTACAACTTGTGCGTTTTTACGTGTGCAACTCGGCCGCCCGCGATAGTATCTATGAAGCTTTGCATTTGAAATATAATAGTTCAAAAATACATACAAATCGATAGATAAGTTTTTGTGAATTTCTCCGCAATTATTCTTCTATTTTCTAGACATTTTGTAATGTTTTCTAGCGCACGTATATCTCAAACGATTTAATCCTTTTTGTGTTTTGGCGATATTCCTGCGTCGAGCGGTAATCATGAAGCAAATACCGAGTATCTCGCTTTCATATAAACAGGCCCTGAGTGAATATTACTCTTACACCGATAATTCTAAATAAATGCTTAGTTACTGTACCTTTGTTCTATTCTATGCATCTTAAAACTAGAAGAATAATAACTAGGCATATGAATTATCTAAAGTTTTGAATTGAGCAGCAACGATGGAAACTGAGAACAGCAAATTTGTCCATTTATTACAATATGTATGACAACTCACAACCAAAAATCATGTAGTTCATTAATTTTAAGTCTATCAGCAATCCCACCTAAAACTTAGCCTGATAATCTGTAACACAGTATTTCCTCCATTAAGCCCCAGCGAAGAGGTTGGAAAATAGACTGAGCATGCGCGAAAGCTGCTCGGGTTTTCAGCGGAAGAAGAAAATATGCGTGCTTCCACTTGTTTGATATAAACCACGTGGACGAAGCCTTCGAAAGACAGCGGCTGTTTAGGCACACAAATCACACAAAAATTGGATTCACTGACAAAAAATGTTGCAGTAATACTTTGATTTCTTCTATTGCCACATATTTTGCAATGTAAACTATTAATATTGATTATTTCAGTGCAAAACAAAACGGAGAAAAAAATTCCATTTGAAATGTCGTCTGATAGCTTTAATAAAATGTGAAATTCAAACCCAAAATACTAAAACGTCTTCATTTATACAAAGCCAAGAAATTTAGTACCGACTTACAAATGCTTTGTAATTTAATGTAAAACGGCGTTATTTCGTTGGCACAACCTGTAACATTACAAGATTTATCGTAGGTTCGAATCCCACCGTGGCCGGGCATATTTTTCAAGCTCGCCCGGTGTGGATATGCACTCAGAGTAACATCGCAAACATATTATTCACCTGAGTACACAACACCAACACGGACAAAAATTCATATTACAAGATTTGTGTTTATAGAATTTTGAACGAGCGAAAATTGTATCTAAAAAATAATACAAAGTTTACGCTTCGAAATGAGGGTCATTGAAAAATCTGATTGCTATGTTTATCGGTTTGAATCTGTTTTTTAAACACTTTGAAACCCTAAAAATATTATTTTAAACTATTATAATAGCAAAATATACATGGCAAAATGTTTATTCTGATGCTCATTTTCTGAGTCGCTTTTTTCGTATAAATCACATTTGCACATGAAATTTGCCAAATTTTAGTTCTTTCTTTATTTTTAGGCGAGTTTACATTCTATTAGCAAAAACTAGAGAGAAAAGCACATCATCTGACCTAATCACATTTCATTGGTGTTAAGTTATTATTATTCTTTTTAAGTTATAGTTCACACTAGTATGACTACAAGTAAAACATGCAAAACTGTCTCGTTCCTGTCCCACGAGGCTGCCCTCGTTTTCATGCAGTCCGTATTACGTCATATCATTACACCTTCCTTTCTTTAACATAAATGTCTCATAACTAACGCAAATCCCAACTTTAACACCAGGGTTTCTATATTATAAATATACTAAAATGTTTCCTTAGAGGTTCAATCGTTAACTACAATTTCTAGGTCTACAGCGAGAGTTTGTCTGGTTTATTTATCTCCCTTCCTTTTCTGGTTCTAGTGCCTACGCTTGCTTCCATTTCAGGCTTCTTATCTAAGATCTTTGTGTTTAACTGGTGTTTCTTCCGACTTGCCAAATCAATTGCCTGTGCCTTTTCCTTCTCTGTGCTATCCTTCGCTTTCTCCTGTATCTATCACAAGTCTCTCCTACTGCGTCTAAGAACTGCTCCGTTTTCCGTTTTTACATTATACGATCTAGGCATTACTCTTTTCAACACTTCACCTTTGTCTTTCCAGTGGGGTTTCGCA